GGTTTAATAAATAGAAAGAAATATAGTCAGTGATAATCCGTATTACAGTTAGCTGTCAACTGGTTCTCTACCAGTGTCATAAATACGTGTCATAGCTTGAAATTTTTATTTAACTATTCGTGCTGAATTCGCGAGCATTTACGACTCCGCCTTGGCACTTCTGCTGGACGGGATGGCTTCCGGGTCATGGTGATAGCCTTCCGGCCCATCTGTATGTTGGCGATACATAAACAGTCTTGGTAATTTGCCCTCCTTTGTCTTCTGGGGAGGTCTCGGGGTGCTGCATTGGAGATAGCCGAATGTGACTCTGATTTTAAAAACTATTGGTTTCATTTTTATCAATGACCTCTAAATCCTGCTGTAACGGAAGGAAGATACATGCCGCGGATAGGGGAATCCCTGACGACTGATGAAAGAAGGGTTGATAATGATTTCCACCTTCATCAACCTTCGCAGTACCATACTCTGCAGGAATTCTTCTAACAATTGAGGCGACACTAACTGTGAATTATCTGGGGAAGTACGATGTGGAGCTGTCCGCGATACCTGTATGAGGGTGACAATTAAGTAAACACGCGAAGCTTTCTCCATCTCCCTACTAGCTGGCCAGAACCCAGATAGATATAACTGGACAGCGCTGAAGGGAGAACAAAGTATCAAGGAGAAATAGACGTGAAACCTTACTCCGCGGACCTAATTAGTAGACTCCTCTGCTTCTGGACCGGTGTTCTTACAACAGGAGATGGGCTTGCCAGAACATGCCCTCTTTCCCTAATACAGTTCTCAAACAGGATGAAACTCCAGATTCAGTGTGAGCAAATTCTATGGCTGGTGCAGCTGGTACGTGGACCTTTTTCCTACATCACTGACTACCTTATAGTGGCCGACGCAAGAGGTTTACCATGGGGAGTGATAGAGACGAATCTAAAAGGAGGAGAGGGGATCTGTAATGATTTGATCTTAGTTTGACCATTTGTGTTGGTTTTGCAGGCTCTTAAGGCTTTAAGTTTATACTTCCACTAAGCAGCATTATCTTCGGGTCATGGTAGTAGCCTCCCGGCCCTTCTGCACGTCGGCAATTCAAATCTTGCCCTACCATTTTATCTTCCTTGACCTTCTAATATGTCTCGGCTCTCTGCATATGTTCATTTGCAAATGCGTATGTCACGAAAAGAGTGGTTGAGCTTACTGCAATAAAGTAAACATTCTCTGCTCTTTTCCTGAGGACAAATCTCGTTTTTTTATACTTTTTGCCATGCTTTAACAGTAAAATCTTCAAGCTGCATTAGTCCTTTTTCCTACTGGAGAACGAGTTAATTTAAAATCACTTGGTAAAATTTCTCCCAAGATTGTTGCCGTTCAAACAGTTGTAGGAATTAAAAAGATAAAAATGTGCAGTAAAAACATGAAAAATTTTTCCTCCTCCGCAATTTCTTCACATAATTGATGATTTCATTGCTAGAAAATCGTGTTCAATGGCAGGAAAATGTGTAATTCTGGTGCAACAAGATTAGCACAATGTAGATCTTTTGATCTTGTGACCATATGTCGCACTTGGTAGTACTTGCGTACATGTCAAAAGAGCATTGTGTAAAATTATGTTTCATAGGGTTGATTGGTAGTGTGAATATTACATCAGGCACCATCCTACTCCTATTTTTCATTGTTCGTTATTGTATTGTCTCAGGAAGTGTCCATAAAGCAGTAATCCGTCCGTATACTAGAAGGGAAGTCGGATCCAGACACAAACGGCCCATCTATCCTTTCTGAGTGTAATAAATCGTTGAGCTAAATTGTCCAACCTTGTGGCTGATTCCCATGTAGCCGTAGGAATAGCCTTTTACCATTGTAAGTCACTTGGATTTCGTCATTGTAAAATCACGACCGTGGTTAATTCACACGAGGAACACATTCAGAAGTTCGAAGAAAAATCGACTTTCACTGGCACCCAGGTGTTTTACTGTTCTCGAACACGAAAATTTGTTGTAATCTTACAGATTACAAGGTGGAAGGAGGAGCTGTGAAAAGGTCGTGAGGTGGCACAACACAAATGGCACTCCTTGTCACTTGTAAATGTGTGCTTTGTACAACCTTTTTGGAATGGACAGGTGGGCTTAAGCAGCTAGAGGAGAGCAAAAAGCCAGAAGGCGCTTAGCTCAATTTCTTATCGCTTTGACATTGTATTTGAAAAAATGCACTTACCTTCTACGAAAAAATCTCTGTAAATGGTAACATACTTATTTTAAAAGGTAAGAAGGCATAAAGTCAAGATTCTTTACCGTTTGAAAACTGATGAAAATTAAGTACTGATGCATATTTTTTCCTTATTTACAACAATAATTCTGTAATCGTCACAGATATTAAAATTACCAGCAAAGGCAAGAGGTTGCTAATTGGTCTATCTATCCGGAGAATGGATAGCCGGATACTGGATAGATGGATGATTGGATGGGTGGACGGATGGAGGGATAGATAGATTCGGGATGGACAGATATGGGATGGATGAATGAACGGATGGATACAGGGTGGATAGACAGACCCAAAATAGATGGGTAAACAAATGGGTAAAGAAATTTTCACCACTTATCTTGAATTCACTCCTTACTATGATGGAGCTTGGTGCATTGATGAAGAAAACTTAAATTGAATTTGCCATAATAGACACTCTGTTGTGGAAAAGGAGAGGAAAGAATCCCAACCCTGTAAATTTTAAGACATTTAAATTTTCTTTGACCTGAAACTAAAAATCTACATCTCTGGTTTATGCAGCCAACAGTTAAGTTTTCCGCCATGATGTTCCCCATTTAGTCCTCTATACCTGGTTTTACTGATGGCTAGTAAATCACACAATTTATTCAATTGGTTCTGGTTCCTGTGGTACTTCTGCTGACTTTTTTCATTATTCAAAGCATAAAACCTTTTAGCGATTATTTGGCATAACTTCCTTTGACTATTACTGATGCCGAATGCAGTAAGTATTCAGAGGTCTACGGTCTCAAAACAGTGTGCCGTTTTACCCCACTGTTTCCTCTGGCAACAAAAAGCGGAAATGGGTGTTTTATACCTTTTTTCTACTTCAAGGAGTGCAGGAAATTTCCCAGAAACACTATAAAAACACCACTCAAATAGGGGAGCTGGAGTTCCTGAGGGTTGCACTAATTATTTGTCATCGTAAAATATGTTAGTTGATCGTTAAAGGTGACCTAAATGCAATGACAGTCGTGGATGATTGATGGAATTAATTTAAACGCTTTTTCTTCTAAAAAGTGGTTTGGTATTTTACATTCCCTTAAATCAATCATACCAAAAGGAGATTTTTAGAGCCAAATGTAGGGGTCATTTTGCACCGGATAAAGTCGTACAATTCTGACCGCCGTAGCGACTGGTTCCCCTGAGTCCGGAATTAGCCTTTCTTAAATAGAGGAAGCGAAGTTATTTTGACTATAAGAAAAGAGATACATACTTTTGCAAAAGTTTCTTCTTTGTGATTGAAGCTAAAATTAATTATGAACAACCCGAAATAACTTAAAAAGTTGATTTCCATTGTAAGTTCACTATCTGCGATAGTTTATTTCGAATGGGGGTCTTCCGTTCAATAGCACAGTCCTCAGTAAGGTCTTAAAATTCCCTATCGCGAATACTACAAAGAAGGAACTCTTGAGATGTCACAAGGATTTAACTTCTTTTCATAATCAAATAACTGGATATTCTGGACCACCACATGACCAATATCAATTGAGGCTCCTAAAATATTTTACAGTAGTTTTACCTGAGTGTTCAAATGGAATAATGATCGTTTTTTCAACAACCTTTGGTAAAAATAAAGCAAAGACAATGCCAGGATTATTGAAAACAGACCAAGACTTAAGAATTTATAAAATTAAGGAAAACAAATTCCTAGTTTTGTCTGGTCCTCTTCTACACTTATGCACTCATCCTATTGTTTTACTGATAGCTGAGAGGTATCTTTGGAATGGACTGACTTGTTAGTACGACTGAAATCATTTCGAAAAGCTTGTCTCTTGCCGTACTTAGAGTACAGTAACTTCAAATTCCTTACCGAGAAGGAAAATCACATTATCACTGTACTGCTCATTAAGGCTCTTCTGGGTGCGAAAGTAAATCTGAGGATGAATACTTCTACCCACAGACAACTTCTTTTTTTTTAATTATTATTCTGCGCACGAACGACCTGATGCGATGTAGGACAGTCGGCGGTGATGCTACCCATTTTATAAAATTAAAACTCCTACCTTCCTCTGAACGCCTCCTATATTTCGTTGTTTCAAAGCTTAGAACCCATCTGAGATCCAATCTCCGATCAATGCATCAGCGATAACTCGCCCTTTCTCTGCGACATTGAAGTCCACACCCAACCCAAGGTCCATTAAGTGTAAGAAGCCCCTGGACTTATGGATAATAACAACAAAAGGGATTTTTTGGGTTCTCCCGTGTCTCTAACTAATGGTCTTTAATTGTGCAAAAAGTGTAATGTCCTTGTGTGCATATTTTTGGTCACTCGGAGCTCCTGTGGTGAATCACCGTTTTGGCGTACCACTGTGTCCCTCCTGTGCAATGACAGGAGAGGTGGAAAATAACAACTTAAGTGTTCCACCCCTCCCTTGTCTATCCCATCCCACCCCATCGGATCGCTTTTGCCCCTTACCCTAATCGACTTCCTACGACTAGGCCTTGACTACTTGTTCATGTGTAAATGCTCCCACAATTGATGTGTCTATAGGAATTAGGAATGATGCACCATCTACTTCACTAAATGTTATTTAATTTGGTGGACTTTTGTCGTCTATTTCCTAAGTTCCGAATCCGGAATTTCGTACTGATGATTTCCTATTTGTTTGTGGTCATAGCGGAGGTGGTTTACTATCATTCATTGATAGATCAGAAAATGTTTTGCATAGTAGGCTCCAATCCGGAATGGCGTACGAGTCTCGGATCAGGAAATCAGTAAGTTAATCCGGCATAGGGCACCAATACCACAGATGGTAGGGGTGGAACTCAATACCACAAGCTCGGCGATCAAATCTGGTGGGTCGAAAAAGGCCCTCATTACGCCAACGAAATTCATCTCTCTTTTTTGGCCGTCTTAGTGGTCTAGACGTCAACTAAAAGATGGTTAAGAAGTTCATGAGGTTTTGCTGCATTACAAATTGCACCGATTCAAGTGGATAAATCGCCGCCGTAACTGACGTTTGTCCCTCAACATACATACACAAGGCAGGCACATACTTTGAAAGATAAAGTGAACCATATCTTAGATTTGGAGACAACCAATGGCGTTGACAATGCCAGCTCCTCATCTTACCTTAGCCAGAAGAACGTGTAATGATAGCATATTTCAATTAGGCACGTAAAGGAAAAAAATAGCCGATGCTCCTTGAAGTTTATGTTTGGAACATGGAACCCATCAACATAAATTACTTTAGCATCACTCAAATCGGCCATAACAGGAAGTTCTGGACAAGTTAGACTGGAATGATATTTTAATAGCAGCAAGACATTCTTCGCAATCAAGATTTAAAGGTCTTCATGATGGGGTTGGTTCATTAATTAACTCAAATTATTCAGCCCGATCTGCCACCATACCTCTTCAAAATACTACACAACAAAGCTGGTAAAAAAATACTACAGCGTTGGTAAGGTGGGTAAAATTCAAACCCCATCCATCATTTCCAGCCAACATTTGATTAGATGGAATTTAGAGTTCAGTCTATAGGTTATCACAAATCCCAACCAAATATGATACAAAATTTCTTAGGCATTAATGTTCCTCCTCTCTCGCGACCACAGCAACTGTTCTCGGGTTGAGTGATTTTGACATCGATACAGGAACCTGGATGATACGGCTTTCCATATTCTACTTTTTGGACCATAGGGAGGTGTCAGGTCCTCCATCATAGTCTGTCCTTCAAGGGGCTAGTTTGAACTTATTCATGTGAGTGCCCCTAAGCTAGTTGTTTTATTTCAAAATTAGCGCTTCTGGTGAAACGTTGAAGATGGCTAGCCTTCCAAAGTGACTAGCCTTCCCCTAAATATTAGCTAATGCTGCCATTTATTCCATGGGTCAAAATATGTCATCGCTACCGTTGCTGCAGAAATCACGTACCTCCCGTAGAAGTTATACAACAGAGAATTATGAAAATCGCTCTATTTTTTTAAGATAAAGAAGTAGTAAAAGAATCAAAGCCTAAGTGTCGCGCCACTAAAGCTTACTATGCTGGTTTTAGGATATCTGTGCTGGGAAATTATTTTCCATGATACATGATCACTGCAGAGGGCAATAAGTCGAATCTCCTACGGATATGAGTGAATTCATTTCTAACCGTAACACTAGGGTAGTTTATTTAACTCTGCCTTTGATCGGGTGAGCACTTAAGTATCCGAAGATCCTACTTCCGCTCGGTGGAATGGCCTCCAGGTTATGCCCGTAGCTTTCTGCCACAATACTATGGCTTCTTATGATTTCAGGAAAGACTTGGGAGCTCCATTAACCAGTCGTATTTGAAATAAGGTTGGATATGAGTTATTTTCCGACAATAATGCCTTATTTGAAATCCCCGTCAGCTAGGGTAACAGATAAGCTACGTTTCTGGATAACTTTCTGCCATGCAGGTGAGGTAGAAGTTAAACAATCTGTTTAGCATAGGAGATTACCTCAAGATATATCTGAGAATAGTTTTTTTCCAGAGATTAACTATAATAAATCAACCGGATTATCCTGATTAAGAGATTACGTGTATCTTGCTCTTTGACACAAAAAGTATTAAAGTATTGCCTACTGCACTAAGAAACTTTCCCTCATTTTACGTACAAGTGAATTCAGAATTCAGTCACCCCCCCCCCATTTGCTCAGATGTAAGCAACAAAGAGAAGATGTCAAAAACTTGTTATTTTTCCCTTATACACTTCAAAAGTTGTTCTATGGTAAGGTCTCATCAAAAAACAAAGGTCATTAAGAAAGGGAAAATTTTTGATAATAGTGGTCATTCCAAAGTTGTCCACTCATCATCCACTGCTGTACTCTCCATCCCTCGGTTTCTCTTCAATTCTTTGATTTAACCGGAGCACTGATTCTTTTTACGCCCTCTGGGTGGATGCTTTAGCAAGCCCGGTACATTCATCAAAAGGCGTTTTTTACAACAGATTTAGAAACTACTCTTGAAACCCACTTTGTTTGATTTGGTTAACCTTCTTTAAAGTAGGCCAGAATCAGTCGCTTTTCCAAGCATTATGTTTTGGGCAAAGCCAGGGGGATTGCCTGATTTACAAATCAAAAGGTTGAATATATTTAAGTTTGGGAACTTCGTGGGCAAGGATTTTTCAGGAGGAGGTGAGGTCAATTAGATTAGGGGACAATTTCATGCCTTGTTAAGTTTTGAAGTGGTCAAATCAATATAGAAATATCAAATAAATTCTTTCCACTTTCTTTAATAAAAGGTGAATAACTGTAAGAGGCTTCGTTCAGACAACCCATTCCTGTAGGATTCATTACAAAGGACTCAATTCACATCCCCGAGGTTCAGACGGCTATCGATGCGGGTCCGGATTGACGTACTGCCAAGTCATAAGGGAATGGAGGAAGTTGTATTGCTACTGTACAGAAGTGGAAGTACAAAGACCGGGCCTTAAGTGCCCTCATAAACCAAGCGCGGAATTAAACAACCCAGGTGTTACCATAGAATCATATTTGTGACACCACTGGGGCATATCCGCTACCTTTAAACCATGGCGACGAGCAGGGCTTCAGTGAACAGTCGTATTTACGGATATGCATAAGGAGGATTATTTCAATACCAGAGTGGGACATGAAGTAAAATGTAATTTCTTTCAAGTGTTTTATAAATAATTTTGAAATCCTTAAAGTATGCAGAGGAGTCCGATTCCAGTTTTGCCTTAAATAGATCAGCTACGAAGGAATGAAACTAGGCCAGAAATCCAGTGGGCTACTTAACATTATGCATTTTATTCAATAAGCAGTATTTTAATGAAAAGAGAGTGATATAATGAAACATCCTTCATGAAGAATGTTTTTTTTTAATGAATTTGTCAGCTAAGGAGGCAATAAATGTGTCTCATTGAAGACTATGTAATGCATTGGCGTAGAAGTGTCACCGAAATCATCAAAAATTATAGTCTAAGCAAGGTAGGGACAATGAACCAGACTTTGTTACATTTAAAATGTTTGCAACACGAAACCGGCCTTTTCAGTCTCTCGCTATCCGGCCTTCTCAGTTGATGACATAAAGCTCTACCACCAGCCTACCATCCCATCTGTAGGACCATTCTAAGATCCCCTTAAGTAATTTGATACTTTGTTCAACTTTTTAACAAAATTATCCCAGTTCACCGGCATCCATGCCTTCTACATTTGCCATAATAATCTGACGTTTTTAGCCAAACCTGTAATCACTTCTGTATGACGGTCTTCTTCCTGGCAGACTGAAGATTCAGATAAGAATCGGAGTATATTTAAAGTATGTCGCAAGGTGGGCATTGGCAAAAAAACAAAGCTTTTAGCTCCCCTTCTCTCCCTCCTTAAGAGTTCACCTTTAATGTAAAAGACAAAGTAGAGCGAGAAATTTTTTTCAGTGTCCTGCAGTGGATGCCAAAGAATCTACCCTAGTGACGGAAGGTAGCGAATTAACTCATAAGGTGATTTTATATAATGACAGCCTTCTGGGAGATCTGAAGGCTCACTTGACATTCATAAAGAAAACGCATTCTTAACCGGTTGAACAAGGTAGGCAGCATGGCTGATTAAACAAATGTCCATTAATACTAGCTTTTTTCCTCTTCGGACTTTTCTCTGCCATTCTTTGCCGATTTAACGAATGATAACGCAACTAATACCTGTGGAATGAATGACGTGATGAAGGGATTAATTTACTTCTAGCTGACAGGAGTGATCTCCACTTTCTCTTTAGGCGTCAGCACTTGGTAACCCTGTGGTCGACCACCCTCCCATTTATGCCATCATGAGTCTTTCAATGAGGAAAAATGATTGCCAGGCAGAATAAAAACGAAGTCATAAATTACCATCATGTGGAAGGAAATTCATGAATATCGCGCGACCTGCAAGATGGTCTGAGTTGGAAAAACATCTGCACGGAAAATGGTGCTGAAGATTGGACAATGTTCCTTGTACCAATAGCCCTTGGCAGTAACACTGATTTAAGCCCAACAGAAGGAAGGAGGTGTTGCGAAGTCTGGAAACCCGATCCAACTTCATTAGGTGTTGCTGTGCGGAACACAAATTCAAGGACATGTCTGAAGTATCTTCCAACTACGACAGTCGGGAGAAGTGTTGTTGATTGTTGTTGCTGTTGATGTGTTGGCTATAAGCATCTACACAGTAACCTAAATGACGAAGGCATAGGAGTCCACACCAAGCGAGACCATTTTATTGCAGATTGCCTACTTAAGCTCGCTCCTAAAGCTTTTTATTTGCTATGGTTTTGAATCGTATGCCGTATGACCCTCATGACCTATTATCTTAACTCTTAACAAGTTAATAATGTCTTGGAATGGACTTCTAATTAGATTCGGTTTTCAAATCAGTGTCAAGTAAATTGATGTCATTAAACCTAGTAAAAACTTATCGAAGTGATAAAATTTTCCTACACAAGGCTCAGAAATAAGATTTTCTTCTGAAAAATTGTTTTCCTTATTGAGAACTTTAAATTTTAGGTTTCCTTAAGGTTGCATAAAACATTTTTGAACTAAATGCCTTCTAAAAGCACTCTTCAGGGACGATAGATCCGAATGATGTATTCTGTATTTCTTGATTTGAAATGGACCAATGTCTGTCACTAAAGCCGATATTTGTATCTGTTCTCCATGTCCGAATAAGGTGCCCCCTAGTTTTATGCACTTCCCACTATTTTATCCCTAGGCGGCCACCCGATCTTAAGACGATTGGTCCATGAAGTTTCCTTTATTTTCGGACATTTTTTGACAAAAATTACACTTCGTGCTTCAGATTTTAGCTATGGTTTTGGCATTTTAGATTAAGGAGACATTTAAAGTTGTTCTACAAAGACAGTACATTCTAATATTAGTAAAATAAGGAAATTGCTACTCAAAAATGGACGAAAAATCAGTTCTTGTGCACTTTGTGCTGCAACTTATTGCATTCAACACGTTTGTCAGCTCTATAACGCGCAGAAGATGCCTCGATTTTCTTACCTGACCTCAGCGTCACAAATGTGTGACACTTATAATT